ACACTGAGGACAAGCAGGTGTACATCTTCCAGTGATCAAACTGGAAGAGGGTTAGGGAACATAGAGACAGGGGGAGCAAAACAACCACATTTAAGGGTCTGGGGGCCCGGATGAAGTGCATAAAGCTTCAGACTATCACATGTCAGTCTGCTGAGGTTGGCCAACCAAGAAGTGGGAGAGGTGTTAAGGCCAACAATAGGGCTGTCACAATTTTAAATTTGTGTTGTGCGATTATTGCACCAACATTAATTGTGATAAACAATATTATGGCAATTTTCAGACCATTTTATGCCACTGATAAAATAATGACAATATAATAGCATGGTAATACAAGTGCGCTCTTTCAATATTTGAAAGAGCGCACTTTATTTGTCGGAATATATAGACATTAGAATCGGAATGTGAAAAAACATATCCTAAATAAATAAAATGTTTTTGGGCTGTTATCCGGTTTGGATAGTTTGATTACCTTTTTTCTAGGGGTGTAACGATTCATTCACTGAATCGATTAATCGATTTATATTCCTGCCATCCAACTGAATTGATCTGTGCTCCACAAATCGGCATTCCGGACGACATATATTGATTACAAATCGATTGAAATGGTACATAATCGATTGTATCGATACTTGGAAACTGCACATTGGATTTGAGTACAAAAACGGTATGGATGTGTGTGTGTGTGTGTGTTTGTTTTTTAGCACTTTAGACACGTTAAACGTTCAGATTCTCGATTCAGTCTGTCTGTCTGTGACGTCATCAGTACGCAGCGGCAGCCGCGCGAAACAACAACAAAACACAGCGTGGGGGAGACGACTGCGAGCGAGACATTTACAAACCAACTTATCGATCCAGCGTGTGGAAACATTTTGGCTTTTGCAAACACGGAGGTGTTCTAAATAAGTCGCTCGCTGTTTGTAGAATATGTAGAAGACAAATAAAAAAACACGGAAACACGACGAATCTTTCCGGCCATCTACTAAGGCGCCGTGGGATTAAACAACGCCGACAGTCAGGACCTCTAGCAGCGTTACCGCTGCAGCAGCAGCAGCAGGTAACTCCAGCTCTGCAGACACCTCAGGCCGCCAGCACTAAACTCAACATCACAGTAACAATTGCCAAGTTTATCTGTAAAGACATGCGACCCTACAATGTGGTTGAAAATCCGGGGTTCTGTGAATTGATCCAAACATTTTTTTAATTATTGTGTAATGTTTACATTGAAAATGAAATTCTTCGCATGAATTGCGATTCGAATCGAATCGTTGTTAAAATGAATTGTTACACCCCTATTTTTTTCTCATCTTGTGTTGCGTAGTTTTTCACATAATTAGTCGTAGACACACACACACTATCTCACTAATACCACACACAAACTAGACTCTTTAGTCCAATAAGTCCACAACACACCTAAACAATGATGACATCAAAGAGAGGAAGCAGATGCGAATAATGGTTTGATTAGTTATTCATGTAGTCTATATGTAGAGAAAGCCAGCAGGAGACATCAAACGAGATCTGGTGGACAGATGGACACTGGCTGCTTGGATGGACCCTCACCCGGGCTGACTGTTGGGATCTACAGGTCGTGTCTCTCTGTCTATCTGCCTCAATCCTGCCTGCCCTCTGCCTACTCTCATCAGATCCCCTCCTCTCTCGTCTCTTTGTTACGTCATAGTGCAGACTGTGGAAAAGGGAAAACAAATCCAGGCAAACACAGAAAGTTGTGAGAGAAATCTTCTCACTCAGGTGAAAATCAAAGACAAGGATCTTTGCCTGAGCTTTAGAGGAAAACAAGATGATTGGGATGAGCATTCATGCAGCCTGCAGTGTGCACACCTTTTCCCCCACATCCTGAGAGCAGAGGTCTTATCCCCATTTTTGGTAACCAGATGGTGAGGGGACGAACAAAGGGAAATACATTTCTGGTTTACAAATGCAAACTGATATTATTCACACCTCAGTGGGGCCTAAGTTGCTCTCAAGACTTTGCACAATTCATATTTATGTGACACAAGGCCGTGCACTTTTTGGTCATTATCTGTTCTTAGGAAATCAACAGACCATATGAAATGTCTAACATGACCTCGCTATGCCTGCCACAGTTCCAAATAACCATATCTCTCCAAAAAATACTTATGCCGCCGCCATGCTATCAACAGAGAAGGACTTACGACCCTACGACAATCACTGGGAGGAATGACAGCGAAGACATGATCATGACAACAATGTTGGTGTCATTTTGCGTAAGCTCTATGACTATGTTTGGAGCGGGGAGATTTTCTGAGCAGGGCGTTTGGCTTCAAGACGACAGTGTCAAACCAATGGGTTTAGGGGAGGAGCCAGAAAGCTAAAAAATACCATAACGCACATTTACTGAATCCAACATCTTGAGGTACGTTTCTACCCTCCACTCCACTTCATGTATTTTATTTTTAATTTTGTTTTATCGAAGTTTCTAATTACCTTCTAGAGTAAATATACAATATACTCATGATCCAGTATTATAAAGCAGTTCATCAGATATCTGAAATTAACTCAACTTTTACTCTTTGAATAATAGCTATGGTTATACAATCACCTGTTTATTTGACATATTGTAGCATATCCCTCCCGACAGATCGTCTGACGCTTTACTGCTTGATTGTACAATTTATTTTTTTAAATCACACAAACAACCGTAAGGGAGGAGGCACTAATACCGTAACTGTCCGTTAACTGACCACAGTTTTTTCTATTCCTTTTCCAACTGACTTCCATTTTTTACCTAAGCCCTGCCTTCAAAATAAATCAAACTCGAAACAGGAAATGCACAACAAAATCATCTAAAAAACATATAATAAAGGCCAAACGCAAAACCTTCTCCAATACTCACAAACTCGGTTAGTTACAAATATGTTACATGAAAATAAAAAATATTCTGCATGATGTTTTTTTTATCTTACTTTGGTACTTACAGAATATTTCAAGCTTTTTTACATATATTTTGTACAATTTTGAAACCAGGAGTACTTTCACAGTGTGGAATTGTGTGTGAGAAAGTATTTCATATAGGGCTGTCAATAAATGGATAGATAACTAATTAATTGCACATTTTGAAATTCATATTCTCGATTAATGGCTATTAATAAAAGTTGTTTAATGAATGTTTGTTTTATTTCTAAAGACTTACTATTATAAATAATGAGTAATCACACTAGAAAACGTGTATTTTAGACACTGTTGTTTAATTGTTTATGTTTAACACAAAACTACACACATTTGATCATCTTGGAGGCAGAATTGAAATTAAATTGGAACATGTCGAACTAGCAACTCTTCCAGCTAGCTTAAACAAACAGCTAGTTTATCATAGCGGTGCTTGTGTTTAACATATGGAGGAATTTCTCTGCACAGTTCTCCGCTGTATGTCGCCCCTGTTCGTTTTACTTCCAATGCAAAGAAGCCACCGTCTTGCTTTCTCCGATGTAACCGACTGCAGCAGGCGGCTGTTTTGTTTCCACTGTCAACAAAGCTACGCTAACTAAGCTAAAATATTTTGTTGCATTAATCACGTTTATGTTGACAGCCCTAATTTTATATGAGTAGCGTAGATTCAGTTGCAACTTTTCAGCTCTCCCCCTCACCCGTCAACACAGCAGACACTGGCCGACTCCTCTCCTAACTGCCACGTGCTCGTCTGCTGGGGGAAAACACTTTGCACTTTCTGACAGCAACTGGCAGTGAAGGCCTCACAGCGCGTCACAGAATCTTGACATCGACGCAGAGAAATCCTCAGGAACATTTGTTGTTAAATACTTGTTTGTGACATTGCCGTCATCGTGTAGAAAGTGATTCCGTTGTGCGTTGCGACCAAACAAGTTGATGAAGTAGGCCAACATGACGCGGATCATTTTGAGGATTTAGACTCAGGAAACCAGGATCAATGCAACCCTCTCTCACGGAGAGGGACGGTTTGAAAGAACCAAATGTAACAACTGCTTCTTTTTCCAGAGTTACCAAACGGCAGCTCGCACACCAGCAAAAGCTTCATGGATTTGTTTGATGCTGGTGTTACCAGGGTTTGAAAATGTGTTACTGTTCATATGTAAATTAAATAAGGTGTAACATTTTCCCTGTTTAACCAGGAAAATAGTTCATCTTTTCCTTAATAGTCAATCTTTGTCATTCCAGGCACAGATATTTATTTAAGTGATCATCTGTCTCTTTATAGACGATCTTTGTTTTCTCCACCGATTGTTTTAATGAAGGTAGTTAAGAGTAAGCAGAAAACCTATGATTCATCAAAAAATTAACAACTTTAATTCGAAGCATGCGCCATTTAACGTTGGGGGTTTCGGGAAAGATGATAAAACCTTTGAACATTTGATATCCTGGCTGTTTTTTTGGATGGCTCCATCACTGGAACCAGAAGTACTGTCCGGTCTGCCGCCACATCTTCATCGTCTTCATCCATCCACCACCAAGAGAACCCTCACATCCGACCTCACAGTGCGCCTGGAGTCCATTTGACTTGACATTGGTTGTGGGTGGTAGGACTTTTTTTTTGGACGATACAGCTTCTTTTATACGTTTTTCCAGATTGAACTCATTTCTAAGATCTCAGAGGTTTTCTTTATTTTTTACATTACCTGCTTGAACATTCTTTTGATGTGTGGAATCTGGATTGAATTTGAATATCCCCCTATATTCTGCACTGTCTCTAAGCGATAGTTGCAGGGGAGGGGGTCACTGGAATGAGGGAACAGAGGCTCTCAACACAAGATGGATCTCAACACTGTGGAAATGGATTCTAAAGCCGCCAATGGAATTCTTTAGCTTCAACGTATTTGACGAAAAGGATGAACACAAGGTCGTTCCCAGCATGAAAACTGAAGATAGGCACAGATAGTTTGTGTTGTGGCCTCCGTCTCGTCCCTGAATCAGCACATCACCATACCTGTAGGCAGAGCAACATGTCAAAGTCACAGCTGAGGTAAAAGTAAATATAGCACAACCAGTACGGAAATAAAAGAGTTTAATACAACTTTCTTGACGGTAACAACTTTTTTTCAGTTCTACACGTTGCATCTGAACATTGACGGGAACTTTATTTAGCTTTTTTGTTTTTGCCAGAAGTGACGATGCTGCAGGTGCAAAACAACTTCAACCTGTGCAGTAGTTTGATGAGGAGCCAGGGGTCGTCGCTCATTAATGTTAATTTAGTAAAAGACTGCCCCGATTCAGAGAGTAAAGCTTTTGGGCAGGGCTATCTTGAAGAGAGAAAGTGTGTTTTCAGTGGGTCGAAAATATAAAAAATAAAAAATATCTCATTCAATGTTAGCCACAGAGAAGAGTTCTTTACAAGACATGACATATGTACTATATTTTGGCAAATTAACACATTTCAATGTTTGATGTCAACCCAATTCAATCTATTCTGAACAGCAACAAATGCCAAATTTGCCTCAGAGGGCTTTAAAATCCGTACGCACATCGGCACAGGAAAAGCATCCCAGAACAAAAAGAAACCTTTAACAGGGAGAACAAAAAGAAGAAACCTTTGGAAGAGAGACAGGAGGAATAGAGAAGTACAACAGATGTCATGTGCACAGAATGAACAATGTAAAATGAATGTTTAATGATTTAAGTTGAGTGACGCTTACTCATAAACACAAAGCATTTGTCCTTTTTCTAAATGTGTGTAACACCACTCTTTAATTAGCTTCTCGAGCTGTTGGTTAGCCTGCTTGTCATCCACCTTCTCCCGTGGTGATGCTGCGTTGCTTGCTGGAGGGAGACAGTAACACGCGCAGAGTGAAGTGAGGACACGCTGCCAAGGAAGCGCACTGCTCAGGGAACACACATTTCTAAACACAATTAAGGATGACATGAGTGGACAAGACAAATGTATTGAGGAGATGATGTAGTTAGCCAACCAAAGCAAAAGCCTTTGTTCTATCACCTAGAAGATGTAAGATGTTACATGGGAGATGTTTGATGCTCTTTGGATGATCTTTATGAATGTATTCTGATGATGGAATCTGGATTAAATAACTTAACATCTTTTCTTTTAGTGCGTCAATTGAAATAATATGTACCATCGACGTTTATTGATTTTATGTAGTAATTTGAACTATTGCAGCGATGTCTCCCTCAACCTCACTAGGTTGTCTTGTTGCCTGTGGTTTATTTGTATATCGTGGATAAATGCAAACGTCTTCCATAAGGCTGCAATGCTAATTCAATCCGGAGAGACTTGTAGAAATTTTAACAATGCTTTATTATAAACAGGGTTAGAATAGGCGCCACATTTCCCAGGTCTTGAGCTGACCCGTGCTTGTAGGGTGGAGGTGTCCGTCCTCGATGGGCCCGGAGTGGTTGGTGGAGAACACGTACTGGGTGTAGTGCTCTTCCTGTTACCCAGAGTAGCTCGTGCTAGTTCGGACTCCCGTTTTGCTTCGCCTTTGGTGTGTGCTGAAATGAAAACTGACAGCATCAAAGAGGAACAGTTTTTTAACGTTTGCCAGCACAGATTCAATTGGTTTACGTTAACGGCCCCCACGTCTGGTTGGCTGGTTTCACCCGTCCCTGATCAGCTGCCCGTGCACCCACAGGGAGAGAGGAGGCCACCAGGGAACGGCACAGCCTGTCCAGTCTTCCTGACTGATTTTTCGCCTAAGCTTCATTGATACTTGGCATTACTGAAAGTGAAGGTAATTAACGTCAATTTCTCTCTTTTTTTAAGTGAGTCTGTCATTTCAGAACGGCTTTAAAAGGATGGCAGAAAGAGCAGAAAACGTGCTGGCAAATCCAATCGGGACGCTAACACATAATTAATTCAGCATTATCCACATCATTAACTCTACAAGCCACGAGACCTAGAAAATTGTACCTAAAAACAAGTTGGAGTTGGTTTTGGACTAAATCTATCACACATGATGAATGGTGATAAAACACACTCAGAGATTGGATTTAGGATCTGACTCATGTCAATGGGTATTACTCCAATACCTGTCCCAGTGACACTTTTGGACGCCATATATGCTATTAGTTTTGGAATTAATGAAAGATATGCAGGGTCCGTTCCTATAAAAAACGTAGATAAAAGGATATAACTTACTTGTTGATTAGCTGAGCGTTAACACCTTCCATATAAAATTCAATCAAAAATCAATCGTCAGCTAATTCCCATCTGTGGCCATTCTGTACTTTGTACTCAAAGGTTGTTTTTAGCTGGAGTGTCCACTCCATAAACCTATCTGAGACATTTCCTCAGGCTTTATTGCCACAGCTTTCTGTGTACTGCAAAGTGTGCTTTGTCACTATGGTGTCTCCCATGTGGCAATTACTCTCTTTGCCAGAGGGGAGAGACAAAACTTCCATACTTCAACTAAAAATGAAAACGATGGCAATTTGATTATTCATAGTAAGGCTCCAGGAGTTCATCCACTTGTGTGCTTCCACCCCCGCTAGTGTTTGAAACTTTTTCAGCTTGACTTGACATTAAATAGCTGTGAACACAAATCCCTTCTCCAATTGGTTCAAATTCCCTTTAGGGTTGTGAAAGTGCCCTCATGACCCCTTAAATAGTCGGACTAGTTGTCAAGACCCCCCCCCCCCCCCCCATTGATGTGGCCCTGACTTTGCAAGTGCATTTGGACCCTTCCTTTATTAGTTGATCCAGCTGTTAAACTAGTCCTTTTTTGTTCCACTAATGTTTTCACCAAAGCATTAGTCCGTGCTGCTTGAGTCTTTGCGAGGCAGGAAGAGCAGCCCTGCCTTACATCCCGCTCCACAACAGGCTCCGCCTCTGACAAACAAGGGCATTTGTTCAGCATTCCGGGAGATTCTGGGAGATTCTCACTTGTCTGTGTGTGGTAATCATTGGACCGGGGTACCCAGTAATTGGCATTAGCCTGGGTCTCAGATACCGATCAGTACCCCGAAGGTTTGAGGCGTGTGTATTCTTCAACGCCTGTGACACAATCTAAGTTTGCAATGGCTTAGTTCCACAACAACAATATTGTTGAATTTAGAAAGGCGTGTACATTTAATTTGCGTGAGCAGAGTATCAATCTCTGGCACATGGTGTCAACGGTATGGGTATTGATTCAGTTTCTTTTCTCATCTCAGAAGGTTACCATGGGGCCCGTGTCTGTTCCGCAGCCCCACCCCCACTATCCATTATGTTTCAGTTCATGGAAAGTATAACCATGAATAATTTGATAGGATGTCCCTTTACATGTTTTCATCTTTGCTGATTTTGAGCTTAGGCTTTATGTTAAACCCCACCGTGCACATAGCTCCACGCACACACACAAACATGCCGGGGGGGCCGAGGCCCCCCCCCCCCCCATCCCCTGCAGACAGACACAGCTGGTTGATGCTGGGTGTTCCTCGTCACTTTCAGCGGCGACATAAACTCCATACCAAGTCCTGTTAACACAAGATTTCACACCCAGATGTGGAGGAGCTGCCAACGCTGTGCTTAGCGTGAGAAAACGCACACGCCTTAAACGCCACAAAAGCTCTTTCCCCCCACCGAAGGTCCAACTTCATTCAGGACCAAATATCAGAATAATTTCTCCCAGCGCGTGCCTGTGTTTACCTCATGTGGCTTAGCCAACCCTCAGATTGCATGTACCTTGCGGTTTTATTACTGTGTGTGCGTGCGTGCGTGTGTGTGCACATGTGAGTGTGAAGGAAAATAAATGGAAACACTCTGAAGGCACAGGTTGTTGTTTTTTTTCTCACACATTCGATGCGACCTGGAATCTTCAAAGTTATTGTTGTTATTTTCTCTCCCCCTCCTCTCTGCTTCACTCAGCCTCTGGTAACACTGCTGCATTGCCCATCTTAAAACAAGTACCAGGCTTTTGATGGAATTTAGTCGAACTTCAGATTAAACATAATAGAGAAACTACTGATTATTTTACATCATTTCATGAGTACAACATTCAGTAATACATGAGTTCAACAATCAGTTAGCTATTTAAAAAGAAATTTTGTATCAATCTGATCTATGTCTTATTCTACTTCTTGTGTGACAAAAGAATAATGTTTATGTGAGCAGAATGCAAAAAGGGCAAAAGAGCGTGATAATGTGTAGAGCTATGATTTTGAAAATCTGTAATTGATAAAGAAATGCATACAGTGAAATACTTTATGGCACCGCCACGTGGATTGACGAAGAGATATACAAAATCTGAAGTTACAATAAATGTACCATCCAGTGTAATACCTCATTGCACCACCATATTCAGCGAAAGTCTCAAAATAACTAGTTGAACACACCCGGAGACGTCTCCAGGGACGTGGACATTGCCTTTCACGCCTTTTTCCGTTCAGTATGTGTGCGCCCCCTGTTCAAGATTCGGGGGTGGAACCGTTAACTACTTTGTGCTCTGTGTGTCTGATTCTTAGCTGAGATGTTCACTTTTTAGCACAATGCTTTTTCTTTATTAAATACTTTTGGTTATTACTTTTCAATCCTTCAGTCCTTTATTTGTGCAGAGTTTCTTCATTTTTGAACATGACAGTTTCAATTGTAAATGATCTGTATTATTTACAAATAAGTGCAAAGAGCATACAAGTCAATAAAAATTATGTATTATTAAATATAATAAAACATTCTGCCACATATGTAAGGCAAACTAAAGGTAAGGCGGCATACCTATGGTCTCAACAGTTTAGAGAAGTAGCCATATACTATATGCTTTCAACTGTATATCCTTATTTTAACTTTAAGGACTATAACATTTTGTTACTCTGTCTATTAAGTCAAAAATCCTCTGCACTTGTATTTGTTCATTTTAAATAACTTCCTTGCCATATCAAGGATTCAAGGATTTTCGTCTTAATAGGATTTGGAAAAAACTGTCCCTGCATTCATCTTCAGTAGACTAGACGTTTGTAACGGTGTGTTCAAAGGTCTGTGTGAAAAGTCAGGCAATCAGAACACTGCAGCTGGAATCCTAAATAAGACTGAGGATCACATCAATCCAGTTCTAAAGTCCTCAGACGGCTTCCTGTCCAACAGAGACTTGACTTTAAAAATCCAGCTGTTGGTTTTAAAGCTCTAAATGATGTAGGCCCAAAATGGCTGATTTGCGGCTACCTTACAAACCATCCTGATCCCCCCTGGTTGTTTGGGACTGGTCTCCTTCCTGTTCCCGGAGTCAGAACCAAACATAGAAGACAAACTCCCAGAGAGCAGCAAGTCAGTGAGGAGTGAGAATCTCAGTGGATTCAGATTAAAGCTTAAAGACTTTGTGTCTGCCTTTAACTGACAATTTACTACTGTACTTTTTTCGTAAAAAGCACTGCAACTTTTTCATTGCACCTCATTTAACTGACACTTTTATCCAAAACAACTTACGTTGCATTTTTGGTTTTACATGTTTAACACATTGGGAGTGGCGTGCAGCCATAAGGGCGCAGTTAGGGGTTGGGTGACACTTTGGTTCCCGGCTCACCCTCTCTACTCCAGGCGCTAGCGTCGCCTGAAGTATTGTATTTTATCTTAAGAGCATTGATTAAAACATTAACAAACATTGTAAATGTCCTTTTCCTCCTCCTTATGTTTTGATGGTTTTATGTGAAACACATGTGGAATGCCCTTATGATTCCATCCATCGTCAAACCGCTTATTCTGCACAGCCAAAGGATGTCTTTGGAGTGTAGGAGGAAGCCGGAGAACCCTGAGAGTACCCACGCAGACACGGGGAGAACATGCAGACTCCACACAGAAAGGCCACTGGGCGGAATCGAACCCAGGACCTTCTTGCTGTAAGGCGACAGTGCTAACCACCACGCCACCATGCCGCCCTCCTTATGGCTGAAATGTGCTATAGAAATAAACTTGACTTAATGAAACCATACTAGAGGTGATGACAGTAAGGTCAAGCTCTCTGTTTACTTGGGCTCTTGCTGCCGACACCTTTCCAGAATCGTCTGCCTATTCTGCTGTGGTTTGTGACAACTAAACGTGGAGGAGCATATGGTCAATGTTATTACCACTGAGCCATTGACTGTCATCTGAAGGACATTTTGTCTCATCAAGGGATGGTAATCCAATGTAGCCCACATAAAACCACTCACCTTGCTATCGATTTAAAATGCAGTGATATTTCTTCATCCTGGCTTTTGGATGCGGGTAGACTGCGTAGTATATTAAAGGTTTCAGTGTAAATCACAAAAGATCTCTATAGATGCTGTGTAGCTCATCAATGTGAGCTGTTTACTGTGGCCACAGCCTGCCAGACTTTGTTGATGACACTACAGCCCAGTTGTCTGTTAGGCAGGTTACATGCTTGTAATCGTCAAACTGCATTCTGGGCTTTCACCCTGTGACCATGGGAGTTTCTGCACTCCTCCGCTCGGTCTGATTTATGAACAAAGTCACAGTGAATGAAGCAAGACTTTAATCTCAGAGTCTTCCTTGTCCTACCTCGGTGATGGTATCCCTCCCAGGCGTGGAACCTTCACTGATGATGTCTTGTCCTGTTAAGATGTGACATGACTCCAGTTGATAAGCTGGTTTCACACTGATTTCATAAGGAAAAGTAGGTACCGTAACTGCATTTACTTGAATATTGTACTTACTCAAACAATTTCTCTTAAAATATTTGACATTTCATCTCTCTACATGTATCAAACTCGTATATTAATGTTGTTGAATTTTACACCGTCACGAAGAAAAATAGACGTTTTTTAATCAAATAAGGGCCATCTCTACACCTGGGGAGGACCATGTTATCCTCAAAGTGATTAAATGCTCATGAAATCATCATGTTAAAGCATCCATTTGACACTGATGTGAATGATATGAATGGGGTTTCAGCTATCAGTTAGATATAAGTGTAATGGTAATGTAATGTCATGTAAGCCCAGTGTTCTTGATAAATAATGATCATTAGGTCTTAGAGTGGGTGTTAGGTGGTCATCATTCATTTCCATTCTTTACCTGGACCTAGAAGCAAAACTGTGAAATATTTACTGCTACTCTGCCTTGGTACCACTCTGCAGAGAGGGTGATCGGCTGCAATCTGCCGTCCCTGCAGGACTTGTTCGCTTTTAGGTCTCTGAAGCGGCAGTCGGCAGTCGGGCTCATCAACAGAGCCTGGTCCCCCACTGACTGACTCTGACATTCCACCGGTCACTTTCTTTCATACTGCACACGTCACTTTACTGTCATTTTTCACTCGTCACTTTGTCACTTGTTCGCTAGTGCACTTTATTTTTAAATATTTTGTAACTTTTTAAGTATTTTTAATTTTTAACTTTAACTTTATTACCTTATTTTATACTAACCTATAGCCTTATTCTACTAACCCATAGCATTAGCATTTCATTTTATTTCATTACTTGTGCACTGCTGTCTTGTTGTCTATTGTTACACTGTCTACTGTCACGCACCAACCGCCAAGTCAAATTCCTTGTATGTTTGACATATTTTGGCAATAAATGTTGATAAATGTTGATTCCTGGCAAAAATAAATATGAATTCTCCCCACAGAAGAACAGGACACCGCCAGCTTGATTTTTGCTAAACTAGAGGCGTTGTATGACGATAGATTGCCTGTCTCGGATCTGCGCTCAATGTATTTCAGGTGTACCCAAGAAGCCAGGGAAACAACATGGGCTTTTGCCCTGTGACTATAAGAGCTCTTCAAAAGACTGCAAAACTGAGATCCACGGGGGGCTTGGTAGCGAAGATGTGCTCTTGAGAGACCCATTTGTGGATGGCCTTCTTGACACTACCCTCAGACGGGAGTTACGCACAAAATTGCTGTTGCAGGAAGACCTGACATTTGCCACAGTATTAACCCGTGTAGAAGTGTATGTTGAGGAGGATGTACTTGTTCGGACATATGCGGTACATCAAACTAACCCCTTGGTTCAGCCTAGTGCTGCTTCATGGCCATATCTTTCTGCTCAGCCGGGAATTATCCCCCAGGAAAACGTCTTAGAACACATGAAAAGTGACCTGCGAAAAGAGTTGGTAGCGGAGTTCCGAGAGCAATTTACGTCGCTATCCCGGGAGCTTTGATCCAGGAAGTACGAGGACAACAACAACTCATCCCGAAAAGGCAAGAAAACCATCAGAGAACCTCACACGAACCTCGCGCTACAACTCATTCCAGCTGGGGCCGGAGAGAGGAACACGACGGCAACAGTCCACACGGACAGTGTGTCGGTATAACGGTCCTCCTTACAATCCCCAGCCAGACTTGGAAAATGACTAACCAACATGGAAATTGTGGATTTAGCCCTTGTGAAAAATCAAAAGTATCATAAACTCGTTTGTGATTTTACTAGCTAGTATTTTACTAACTAGAATAAGAAAAATCATAGTCGTAAGTAAAGACAGAGGTCAAATGACTACAATTCAGTACGAAAGGGGCAGATTGTTCCTTCCCCGAAAAGGAACAGGAAGATCTAAACAAGTTTCTGAGGGAGAACAGGAGCTTTCATACATCTCTGAGAGGTTCGAGGAAGAGGAAAACAGAAGACCCCAACAAAAGGCAGATTAGTTGTAAACAGATGTCGTTGGGAGACACCCATGTCCCTCCCTTAATGCGACCTAGTCAATCATATTTGACAGACTAAGTGAACGGACGAGGAGAAGACCAGGATACGGATCAGTCCAGGCACCTATCAAACAGGATGCCATCGTAAACGAGGTCAGGTCACGATTTTCCCAAGAAAGGTCACACACCAAGTTCTTGAGACACTCACAATATGCAGCTCAACAAATACTTCCCTGACTCCTAGGAGGGGTGAGTAGTAACACAAGGCAACATGGAAAGTGGAGGAGAAACCCACCAGAGGAGGCCAGAATGGACAACAGCAGAGAGGATGCAGCAGAGGAGGCCAGATCGGACCATAGTCGAGAGGCCCGACAGCACCGACGCACCTGGGGAGTACGATAAAGGGGATTTGAACAGTTTATTATTGAATAAACATTGTCGAAGGGACTCAACAAAAATTAAACCGGGAAGTAAGATGTAACCGTTAGACACCACTTTGTTAAAACAAGGTCGATAAAACGAATAAAACCGCATCTGCCATAATACATTAACCACCTGTGGCCACCCACGGGCGCAGCACTCTGGACAGCGCCTCAAGAGAGCAGCACAAAGGGTAGGGGCAGCAATGAGCAAGAGGTCAGGTGACCTGTTGGTGGGCAGCACGGTCGTCCTCAGATCAGAGGGTTGTCGGTTCGATCCCAGGCCCGCCTAACCCGCATGTCGTTGTGTCCTTGGGCAAGACACTTAACCCAACATTGCTCCTGTAGCTGCGACTACAGTGTGTGAATCGTAGTTACTGATGGCAGGTGTCACTGTGTGTGGTTCTCCTGTCATCAGTGTATGAATGGGTGTGAATGGGTGAATGATGTCATGTAGTGTTAAAGCGCTTTGAGTGGTCGGAAGACTAGAAAAGCGCTATACAAGTACAGGCCATTTACCAAAAGGGGAAACACCCCGCCCCCTCAGGAGACAACGAGCGGCCCAGGTGCAGCTCATAAGCTGAAGGTTGGCCACACTATAAAAGACCAACCATTCCAACAGCCCAGCAGACAAGACGTGAGTAGAAGCTGGCTTCATGCCAGAGTTTGTTTGCAAGAGTGTTAAAGCCTGTTTGTTTTTTTGTGCCACCTGCAGGAAGGAGACTGAAGGCCGAACGAACCTGCTGAACCGCACCCTCAAAAGAGGAAGAACCTAAGTTTCCATTTTTTTGTTACTTTGTACGTTATAATAAATCGTACCCTTTTCTTGTGCAACTAGACGTGCTTCTGAGTCCGGTGATTCCACCCACACCCGTTGGTTGCCACACACCACACAGATTCAAAACATCCAAACAATAAAAATGAATAATAAAAAGAAGTAAAAGCATGCAGACACAACTCTAAAACAAAACAAAATGGGGTCTAACAGTTACAAGTCCCATGGAATATGTCCCGATCGAAGTTGAGGGCCTTTTTGGTGCGCCATCATCTTGTCCCACCTCAGTGCCATCACAGGAGAACAACCAATGGGTCCCAAACTCCAGAAGCCATACTGTAATCGGGTAAGAGGGTGTTTTACTTTTCACACCATGCATTTAAGTGCCAGCACTGGTTGCCTTGCTGAACATATTAGTTTCAGCGCCCATCTTTCAATTCAATCGCTGCTCTTGTGTGAAAGTCAAGTCCTGTTTAAACATACCCTAGAGCAGCCTGTGGTCTGAAATGCCCTTTTGCCAAGTGGTGTTTTAACTTACGACTCTTACTCTTTGCACCAATTGCTTTCATTTGATCTTTGGAAAATATTGCAGAAAATGTATTTTCCAGGATTAACTAGTTCTAGTAGGACTAGGAAAAAAAAATGGCCGACACTGTCTCCAGAGCCGATCCGAGCAAACGTGTCATCCAACTGGTTGGCCTGAATTAGTGCCGGAATCGGCAGACTCAGTTTCTGGAGAAATTGGTGAAATTTCCACAGCTGTGTGTGGCTATGGATGGTGTTATGAACCCAAACACAAGTGTTTGCAGTTCTATTGTTTGTGTAATTACCACAAGTACTAGCAGAAAGGGTTTATTCTGCCTGGTGGATAGCAGGAACAATAACAAGCCACCTAGATAAGCAACGCCCCCTTTCTGGCGCAAATGAAAGGGATGCGAATGAAGTGAATTAGATGTCGGGAGGGTAAACTCGCGAGATTAAAGCGTTGTGAAAATTTGCTTCCTTTTGGTGTGGATGCACCATAAGAGTTCAGTGCCACTGACTAAGATGCCTTATGGGATTCTTATAGGTGACAGTGTAATGCTTGATGTGGGGTCGTTACCAGAAAGTGTTATTCTCCCACTGCCGTGCAGGGTTCTTTCCCAGAGATAAGAACCAAAATGCAGAGTTCAAGTCAGCAATGATCACTGCAGCAGGCAGTTTTAGAGTCCTGTTTTACATACCAAAGGAAGTAAAAAGTCTGCGTTGCCCAATGGTGCCGTGGCTTTTGAATGAAGGGGCCATTTAGTAGGCAGTGGGTAGTTCGTGACAGAGTGCAGAGTTTCACTTACTGCGATCCCATCCGTACCCAGACCTAAAGATAAAACATAAAAAAATTGAAAACCTGACGGGACAGTTCTATTTCAACCGACGGTAGTAGTTTAAAGTACAGACCAATTGCATTCGAGTCAAGCCATCCCACGTGGTACCACTCAACCACACAATTCTGTCTATTCCTGGAAAGGTGATATTGTCTCAACAGTGCAGACAGATTAGAGATAGCGGCAAATCCCAAATATAAATATAAAGACGGTAGAAAGAAAAAGAAAGACTGAGTAAAAGACGGGTGAGACGGAGAAAGCAAGAGAGAGGGACGGGTGAGAAACATAAGGAACAAATGGTGCTCTCCAAAATGTTGACAGCGAAAGTAGAGCTTTAAATACAGAAAATATAGTCATTTCTGGATCACACTCCCCACTGGGATGACTACTAAACACACTGTTGTGTTTAGATTTATTATATAAATTATATATTTATTATATATAATTAGCTGAGGCTGTTGAGTCCAAATTTGTAACATAAAAGGAGAATTCAAGGTTTTCTTCCCTTTATTTTTTTCACATTGTATTCACATTCTCTTATTTTGAATTGTAGCTCGACTTTTACTTAGTCAATGAGAGAAAATTACTTATATTTGTGGTAATATATGTATGTTTAGTTATTTTTTTACGTGACAATGCAGCTTTGAATTGTACTGAATTAATTTGATTTGTTAGTTGTGGATTAAATGCAGATTGAATGCAGATGTTGATACAACTCTGCTATTCTTTCCAAATTTAATCACACTAAATAGTTACATTATGATCTTCTGGATCTTCCTTACTTCTCTTCTTTACATTTTAGTTGAATACCTAGAGGAGTGACTCATATCAGACACTTAGCAGTGCTGCTTCAATTTGGATTAGAATTATTATTTGTTAATGTTCTTGTGGACTCTCCAACTGCGTGGACGTGCAATGCATCGTCACTGGAATAGCCCTTTCAGTTAAAGGGATGGAACCACTGTAAACCACAGTCCAGTGTCTGCTCTCCGTCCATAGCTCCTTCGGCTGGGAAATCCTCAGCTGCCAAACCAGAACTAAAGCATAGGATGGCAAGTGTGACATGTGATCATCTCAGCTGTCATTCCTATCCGAAGCCAGACGTCACGCTGAATTATTACCAGCCTGGGATTGTATTCACTAATAAAATTCCAGCTGTGTTTATTAATTATGACGGTAATATTAGGCAGTCTTGTTAAATCTCCTCCCCCAAGATTTCTTGTAATTAGTATCATACCGTGTGATTGATTGTTGCCTTAATGATCCTTTGATAGATGGTTAAATAGTTCATTCTCACGGATGATGTTACGAATAACAATGACGAAAATAATTTATTCCTGTCATGTACATTGTCGATAACATTCAATGCATAATGTTTGCAACAAATAAGACAACTACGTGGCAGCCATCAGGGCTATGTAGAGTGATGAAGGCGTATCTCCTGCCTCCATCATAGCTCTTTGAATGTCTCTGCGTGACGGCCCCACTGCAATGACAAACAGCCCTGCTGCTGAAATGTGAAAAGTGTAATCCAGGCCGATAACAAGCCAAAAATGAACTTGAGCACAATCAAGCTATTTCAGGCCACATTACAAGGCGATCACATCCCCGCTAAGACTTAACTTTCGCGATAGAAGCGTAATAATCAGCCGCCTGCGATAAAGGCTGGGTAATCTGTCATCGGACAGCAGGGCCATGGGTTTTCCAAACCGCAGGGGTCCAGGGGCCCTTTATACTCCACGAGGACGATCCATCATTTAGAATGCTAACAAGGTGAGGCGTTTTAACATGAAAGATAACGTAGGTGCGGCGCTATCGCCTGCTCTCAGGGACCTTTGCTTTCGCTGGTGGGGAAATGCTCCCTTATCTTCATCTGAGAGAAAACTGACCTTGTGACAGCAAGAGAGCCCTCAAAACAAAGTATTTCACAGCTAAAGTGACAAACATCTCTTAGTTAATTAATGGAAACATTTTAGGGCAAGGTCAGTCTATCATTTCTGTTATGACAACATTAATTGAAGCAATTTTACTCTCTGATGTGACAAGCAAACGATTATATAAGATAAGATCCAAGAGACGTACAAAGGCATAGTCTGAATCAGAAAAAGGCAGCGTGTAATTGTTCCTTTCATCTGTCTTAATGTTAGTCTGTGTTGCTAATGAACAACAGAGAGTTCATGTAAGTTACTTGTTCAACATTTTTAGCCTGATAATCAGACTGAAGTGGTTTGACTTCATCCGTTGGGTTTTGCCTCCCTATCAGAACTGTCTGCCTAAATCAAGATTACGTTCAATGTCAGGACTTTGTCAACATGATGTCACTGTTTTTCTAATCCACTATAAGGATTGAAAAGGAGGTGGAGGGTTTTGGTCAACAGAAAAGCAAACATTGGTTCAGGAGTCTGTGCAAGGGTGTGATCTCTGGACACGTGCACTGCTTCCAGTCGTTCAATTGGCACTGAACCAATGTAAATCTAACTAAATCCTGGGGGACGTAATATTCACATCCTTTCTACCTAGGCTTTTCGTTTTGACACCCCAAAATGTTAAGATGTAAGTGTCTGTCAGTCATCTGATGCGGCTGTGTTGCGTTGAGGACATAGTTTAGTGACGCAGTTTAGGATGTAGTTCAGTAACATACAGTACCAGTCAACGGTTTGGACACATCAAACTTGGTTAGTCCAAACCTTTGACTGGTACTGTAGTCTACTAATGTAGTATATTGACATGGTTTACTGACAAAGTTTTGTGTCATAGTTAACTGACATAGTTTTGCATTGTATTTTGAGTGTGCCTCTGCTGACAAGTATAGAACAATGCAGCGCA